ATTAGCACCTCCCAAAAAAAGTTCCTTTGAATTTTAATCATCTTGAGAAGAACACACTTAGGAATCTTAAATAAAGAAAAATAAAAAATAGGAAGAGCAAAAAGTATCGAGTTGATTAAGGTGATCCATGTCATAACTCAAATTTTTAATAGAATTTTAATTTTATTGTTATTTTTAGTCTTATTTTTATTTTAATTCATATGTTTTGTCTTTATTTTCCTTGTTAGGCTTACGAACAAAAGAGGATTGGAAAAGGGAGATGAAGGAGTTTAAAATGAGGGACTTAATTGAAGAAATGAAAAGTTGGAAGGGTGAAATGCAAAGTTTAAAGCCTCAAACCCAAAAAACCAAACCGAAACCCAAACCGAAACCCAAACCCAAATTACCCAAAACCCATTTCAATTTAAGAGACTTAGGCCCAATTGAGCCCACTAAATTATCCAAACCCAACCCAAACTTAAAACCCAATGTTTCATGCCACAAAAAAAAAAAAAGGGATAAAGGCTTCTCCTTCGGTCAAACTTTGAGACCCTTCTATCTCTCCAGAACCTTCTTCTTAGTCACTCTCGGTTTTTCTCTCTCCCTCTCGAATCTTCCCCTGCAGCAAGCAGCCATCTTCTTCCTCTCCATCCAGTCACCAGCAGCCCCATCATCACCGTCAAAGCTATCTTTCACCATCTTCAGCTTCCTTCTCTCCTCCTTCCCAAACCGGCCTCTTCCCAACAGATCCAACAGCCCCTCACCCTCACTTTCGGCTTGCTTCCTCCTGAGCCTCTCTCCTTCCTAATCCAGCCGATGGCCTCCTATCATCTACTCACCGCCTGAAGCACGAATCTGAGAGCAGAAGCCACATCTCAGCGCCGGGAGCAGTCTTCGACGATCAGCCATCGGTAAGGTTCACGGATCTTTGGCTCGTGCCGGTAAGGTGAGAGGGCAAACCCCCAAAGTCGCGAAGCAGGATAAGAAGAAGAAGCCACGCGGCCGCGCTTACAAGTGGATGCAATACAACCTCGCTTCATCACCACAGTTGTTGGATTCGGAAAGAAGAAATGGCCCAACTCACCGGAGAAGGTCAATGGCGAGTGAACAGCGGAACCGGAGCAATTGAAGCTGGATCTGTTGATTGGTGGTGGCGGTGATGTGCACGCGGAGCTTTGACGATTTGGCAAAATTCTGATCTCCCTGCAACTGGAATAAATTTGCAAATCTATGCCAGCTACGGGTGGATGACGACAGGAAGAATTGGGCATGAATGGAGGCCCAAATGCATTTTCGGATTCTAGTAAAATGGTGAGGATTGGAGAGGCCCAAATACATTGCAAATTCTGGTGATTGGAGGAGCCCAAAACCGGGATCCAAAAGACCCGGAGATTGATTTCTAGAATGTTCCTTTTAGGGTTTTTGGGTATAAATAGGTGGTTTTAGGTTAGCACCGGAGGTCTTTTTGTTTGTGTGGTTCTGGTGTTGACGGCGGAGGAAAGGAAAAATTTTCTGTTGAAAGGGGGCTCGGTTTTTGTATCCGGAGGTTGACGGAGGGCTTATTTGCTGTGTCTGCTTCTGTTTAGGTAAATCTTTGAACAGAGGAGTTTTCTGGGAATGGTGGGGAAGGGGACGATGGGAGCCTGGTCTCGTGGGTGGGATCCCTCCCATCAGATCTGGATCCATTTTTCTCAGAAAATTCTGCCGTGGATGTGTTGCTTTTTGGTTGATTTCTCTATTTTTTCGATTTAATGTTTAAGGTGATATGTATTTTCTTGAGAAATGAATGAAAAATCATGTATTTGCCTGTTTATTTGCTTGATAAATTTATTTATCTTTCTGCCAAAAAATGTATTCATGAGGAACCCTAATTCTGCTAAGTTGTTTGCATGTTTGAGTTTCATTTTTGGTTCTTTTGTGTTTTTTCTTGGTGTTCGGGTCAATCAAATCTGATTCAGTAAAAAAATACATAATATAAATAAAGTAAATTAATTAATCAAAATAATTAATTTAATTTTATTACTAATATTAATTAATTTTAATTAAAATAAATTAATCATATTTATCGATTTTAATTTAACATAATTATATTATTTATCTTCATCAAAGATTGATAATATGATTAATTAATTTTAATTAATATTAAATTAATTATTTAATTAAGTTAATTATTGTATTAATTAATTTAAATCCTCAATTTTCGTTAATTATCTTCTCATTTTAATTTTACCCAAAACTCTTATAATTAAGCAATTTAGTCCACATATTTCAATTCTTTTCAAATCAGTTCTTCATGTTTTGAATTTAATCAAATCAGTCCTCTATGATTTGAATTTAATCAAATTAGTCCTTCAACTTTTTATTTATGCTCACTTCGCATGCATGTTTCTCGAATTTGTCCATTTTAGTCCAAAAACCCCAAAAATGTTTCAATTTGGTTTTATCTTTTTTAAGCTTGCTTATTAAGACTTAAGTACAAATATAATGAATAAGTTGAATTAAAACCCCAAATGTTAAAGTATGCAACCGTGTTTAAACGGAGGATTGTGAGGTGCGCGTATGCCCTTCCTTACTATTAGGATTTTATTAGAATTAAAATTGAATTAAAATTGTCAGACAAAAGGAAACTACCTCAAACGTGGAGCACCCATTATCCATTTATGGTGGGAGAGGGCCAAGAATCATGGAGGAAGGATCCTAGCATCGAAGAAAAGGAAAACATAAGGAAAAACAACACACACACAAAGACAAACGGCCTGCCCTACAGAAAAACTGCCCTGCATGTATGCATCTTGAATTGTCAGACTTTTTCTTCTAGATTTCAACATAATTTCCATATTAGAATGCAAGATTCGTTCTTGATCATATCTTTAGTTTAGGTTTTTCCATCCTTGTTCATATTTTCCTTCAAAGATTGCAACTTTTGTTAATTTTTAAGGACTTGGAAGCA